GAATAAATGTAATAAAAGCTGTACAAGACTGTTTACTATTGAAAACAATAAAATATTACACAAGAAAACTTAAGTAAATATAGCATGTCCATGAGTACAAAGAAGACTTAATATTCTAAAATTGTCAAGGAGCCAGGCACAGTGGCTTGCACCTGTAATCCCAGCTACTCAGGAGGCTTTGGTGGGAATATCACTTGAGGCCAGAAACTTGAGACCAGCCTGGTCAACATACTCAGACCCCATCACTCTAAAAAATGTTTTAAAAATAAAATAAAATAATAGTCCATTCTCCCAAATTGATCTATATATTCAATGTAATGCCAACCAAAAAATCCCAGTTTGTTGTTTGGGGTATAAATTGACAAGAAATGATAAAATTATAATAGCATGCAGAGATCTAAGCATAACCAAGACTATCTTGAAGAAGAACAAATCTGTAGGACTTACACTTACTTAACTAAACCTGTTATAAACCTATAATGGGTAAGCCAACATGGTATTGGTGCAAAGATACACAAGTAGAAAGATAGAACAAAATAGTGAGTCCAGAAATAGACCCACATGTGAATGGTCAGCTGATTTATGATAAAGTAACACTATAGTGCATTTGGGGAAGGTAAATGAAACTAAGTTAACTGGATACCCAAACAGGAAAAAAAATACACATATCCAACAAGGACTCATCCAGAATGTATTAAGAACTCCTACAAATCAAGAAGAAAAATACAGAAAACCCAGTAGAAAATTAGACAAAGCACTAGAGCAGCAACGTTAAAGCAGTGGTTAAACAAACGATCAATAGCATAGGAAAAGGTACTCACCTTTCTTCATCAGCAGGGTAATGTACCCTAAACCCACAAAGCAATACTAATGCACACCTACCAAAATGGTAAATATGACAAAGACACACAATAGCAGGTGTGGATGAGGTTATGAAGCAAATGAAACTCTTACACATTACCAGTGGGCATGTTCTATGACACAGCCACTTCGGAAAACTAATGGACAACGTTTATACCAAAGCTGAACATATACATGCTGTGTCACCCAGAAATTCCACCTCCAATAGAAATGTCCCTATCTACACCAAAAGACATGTCCAGAAGTTTTCAGAACAGTGCTATTCAAAATTGTCAAAAATAGAAGAGGAATCAATTCCCCTCCATTAAAAGTAGAATGGATAAATTTTATATTCATATATAGGAACACTATAAACAATGAGAATCAATATACTAATACTACACACAAAAAAGTGGGCAAATCTCATGCATAATATCAAGTAAAAGAAGCGGAAACTGAAGGATATATTTGGATCATTGTAATTATATAAATTTCAAAAACTGCCGAAACTCATTGATAGTGTTGGAAGTCCAGAGAGTGGTTACCTTTGCTGGCAGTAATGCCTGGAAAGGGGCACATGAGGAGATTCTGAGATGCTGATGACATTCTCCTTCTCGAGGTGTGTCCATAAAACTGCACACTAATGATGGGGGCGCTTCTCTTTGTGTGTGTTAGACTCTAAAAATGAAAACAAACAGAAAACTCCCTAGGTGATTCTAATATGCAGCCAGAACTGAGAACCACCGGTCTAGAGCTCACATCTCTATCCTCCCTTCCTTTCTTCCTTCCCTCCCTTTCTTCCTTTCCAGCTCACCCCTCCCACCACACCTCCTCTTCCCAATTCTCTGCCTCCAATGTGCCAAGAAGTGTTCTAGGTGCAAAGGATAAAGAAAAGAAAATGCTATCATCTTTACCTTAAAAGATGCTAAGTGTTTTCTTGTCAATTAACTTCAGCCTGCCTCCTGACAACAAGATTCACCTGTCTACACTGCAGCAGTTACAGGATTATCGCTAATTTCAAAGTTATCGCTATTTATAACTGCAAAGAAATACCTCCATGGCCTTTCTGAATAACCATAGTACTAGTTAGTGCACAGGACTTGACCACATAATGGGCATACTCTGTTGCAACAGGTATTAATTAGCTGGGGTTGCAGTGGGTTCACTTTGACCCCAGGTGTAACAGAGCATGTATAATAATGAGCTGAGTTACTGGCAGGTAACTACTGCCAGTGTAGTGGGGTCAGGTTGCTAGACCCCACACAATGTTTCAGTTGTATCTGGCCTAAGGACCAGTCCTATTCTCAGTCAACACACAAGCTTTCCTGAGCATAATTATTATAATCCTTTTTTTTTTTCATATTCACTCATTTGTTCATTCGACAACTATTTTGTGCCTGTAGCAGTGGACAAACATAGACACAACATCTGGCCTTAGAGAGCCCACGTTCTAGTGGATGATAACAGCTGATATTTACTGAGTGGCTGCTCTTGTGCCAGACCGTACTAAGAGTTTGACGTGCATGATCTCACTTTAATGCTCACAAAAATCATCCAGGTTAGTACCTGGGCATTTTTTGTTTGGGGACCACCCAGGATCCACAATTCTTAACAGCCACTGTCTCCCCTGACAGATTGTTCTTCTCACATGATACTCTCTAGAGCAGCACTGTCAGACAAAGGCTCCACCCTCCCCAGCCACGTGTCAAGATGTAACTAGTGAGACCAAGCAAGTGCTCCTTGCCTCAAATCTACATCTTGGACTGGGGTACGATGAGACTGAAAACTTTTTCTAGTCTGTCTTTTGCAAGCAGTGTGAGAAAATTAGGCTTTCTTCTCTCCCCCTTATTGTCTCCTTTGCCTCTCTCAACATTCTTGCTCTGAAATAGATAAGTAAATAAAGCAAGATCTAGACTTTGTGGGTGTTCAGAACACGTCTCCAGGCTCATATCTTTGTCTCCAGGCACTTCCAATAACCAAACCACCTGCTGACATCAAAAGTCAAAGCAAATCATTTTTATCTTTCACAGCACACTCTGTCTCTTAAGAATGTGGCTATTGATTATTTGACCATGGTCATTATGCCAAGGTTTGTCTTCATAAGCAAACACGAGATGCTCTGACCTTGGCCTGCATCCTGCCTTTAGCTCACACTCCCTCTGGCTGCTGTAACCAGAAACTCTAAATGCTCAGATGGCTAAGGGACTTGAGAAGTTAGGAAGGCTTTGCCTTTGGGCATAAATTCCCTTCTGCCTGTACCGTCCCTCCAACTCAGATAAGCCATCCTCGTAAGAACACTTATAAAGTTTGAAAGAAAGGGACATTGGTTAGTTCACTGACTCCAACTTCAGGTCCCAGACGAAATGTTGCTTCTCAGGGCAGCCCTTCCTGAACCCTCCAGAATAACTTGGGTTCCCATATCACAAAATTTCACAGAACCATAAAATTTTTTCATAAAACTTAGTCCAATTGCAACTAATATTTTTTGTGATTACTTGTCTCATTTACCAATATATCTCCAGCACCTGGCAAAATGCCTGGCACATAGTAGATGCTCGGTAAATATTGTTGAGTGCATGAATGAATGAATGGGTGAGCCTCATAAAGAACTTACTGTTGGCCGGGCGTGGTGACTCATGCCTGTAGTCCTAGCACTCTGGGAGGCCGAGGCAGGCGGATTGCTCTAGGTCAGGAGTTCGAAACCAGCCTGAGCAAGACCCTGTCTCTACTAAAAATAGAAAGAAATTGACCAACTAAAAATATATATATAAAAAAATAGCTGGGCATGGTGGCGCATGCCTGTAGTCCCAGCTACTCAGGAGGCTGAGGCAGGAGGATCGCTTGAGCCCAGGAGATTGAAGTTGCTGTGAGCTAGGCTGATGCCATGGCACTCACTCTTGCCTGGGCAACAAAGAGACTCTGTCTCAAAAAAAAAAAAAAAAAAATTTATTGTTACTTTTTCATTATTGGAAGATTTGTTTTTCTTCTGTAAGATTATTTTCTCTTACTGTAGGTAAAGCACATCAGCTCTTACTCTGTCCTCAGTAGAGATGGGTGGCAAAGAGGTGGCCAGCAGCTCCCATGCCAGAGTCATTCATATAATTATAAATCATAACAAAGATGATTATTCTAGGGTTTTATGTCTTGCTGATTTTATCTGAAGAGACCTAGGTCATGGTGTCAAGCTCCAGAAGGGAGGAGGGACTTTATAGGTAAAGTCATCTACATCCTCCATTCCTTGGCAGTAAACTCGTACTTGGGACCCTGGCGCATCTTGGTAATTTTGTTGAGATCTTGGCCAAGTCCCTCCGACTCTCTGCTCTTGGGTCTCTTCTCTACAAATCATAAAACTGGACTGGACCAAACAAAGGGCACTCAACATATCTGTAGTCCCATACATCTGTTCATTCAGCAAATATTTTTAAGAGTCTAGGATATGCCTAGTTTTGTTGTAGGCACTAAAGACTCAACAGTGATCTAGAGAGAAGAATCTTTCTCCTTCAAGAGAGTCAGGCAAAACTGGGGAGAAGAGGGTGGTTAGGGAAGTCTTTCTGGCACAGAAGTTGCCTAAATAAGTGATTTATCATGCATCATAATTAACTGCAGGGCTTGTTAAAACAGATTGCTGAACCCCAGCCCCAGAATCTGATCATCTTAGGTGGACTCGAGTTCTGCATTTTTATTTATTTTTTTTTTTTATTTTTTTTTTTCAAACAAGTCAGTTGTCTGAAAGTTCTGCATTTTTAACAAGCTCTCAAGTAATGCTGAGCTGGGGACCAAATTTTGAGGACCACTGACCTGAAAGAAGCAGAATATTAAATAAGAACACGATTCATAGAACTTAATAAATATTTGTTGAATGAATAAATGAATGAATGGATCAATCAATCAATCAATCAGCCAATCAGTATAAATCCATCACTACATCAGTAGCATAAAACCCCTACAAAAAGAGATCATAAAGTTGGGTTTTGCAAAAGTTGATTAGTTTGGAAGCTAAAAAAGATTTTGCCCCTTCTCTTTCTGTGGTCTCTAACATGACTCATTGCTAACAAAAATGGTATGGCTGAAATTAATCAAGCTGCTTTTCTCTATTTATGTCTTGCTTTATCTAGAATTGCAATGGGCATTGCCTCCTCTGGAGTGTAATTCAGGCTGACTCACCTCCCAAGTCACTGACGGAAAGGTCAGCATGGTTCCAGTTCACCACTGAAGGCACATCCGGAGCTATTGATCAGGAATTGCACATCAGAGAGATTAGCCCACATCATCTGGGTGTTTTGACTGCCTTGACAAGTATCAAGTAGGTTGGCTGGACTAAAGATTAAAAACTCACGTTGGCAGTCAGCAGCATAGAAAATCACAATGCTGGTCCAATAGAGAGTACTAAAGTGCATAAGCTTTGTTCGTGTTCAGACAGAGGTGGGGGTAAGTCCTGATTCTGTCATCTATGAGTTACACAATCAATGTCTCTAATCCTCAGTTCTTTCATCTTTTTAAAACTTGCACAGTTTAAAGGTAATAAATAACTGGTAGGATTGTTGTACACAATGCCCATAGTTGTTTAGTACAACTCTGATACATTAACCACTCGACACATTTTAGCTAGTTTTGTTATTCATTAGCAGATTCAAACTTTCATCATCACACTTATTAATGCTTTTATACATTATCTTTTATAAATAATAAACTTAGCGTTCGCCTGTCCGCTTCAATTACTTTTAGGCTGGGTCTGTAGTAGGAATTTTACTGCTTGGATTTTCAATTCTGGGCCAGAGAATGTAGTGATTCATATGCAGCTAACTTCCCTTTGCCACGCAGTATAAAGATTTCCACACCAGACCAGGACTCATCCCCTGTTAAACATACCACGAAGAGAGCTGTAGAGGAAGATAGCTGTTTTCTTGAAAATCATCCTTAAAAGGTAAGAACATAATATTTCCAGTTTCCCTCCTCTTCAGGCTTCAAACCTTTTGTTGAATTTACCAGTGTTGTGTAGGATATGAAAACTGAATGACAAATGTTTTCTATCAGCTCAAGGGTCAAACATGCCTGGTTTCCAGTCCGGGATCTACCACTAAGAGCTGTGTGATCTTGGAAAAGTTATTTAAGTTCTTCCCTCCATCTCTGTTTCATCGTTCTTAAAATAATAACATTGCTAGCGGAATTATGGTGAGGATTGAATCAGTCAATGCATTTTCCAAAACCCCCAAAATTCCAAGTGCTGCATGTCAGCTAGGTGAACTCTCAGCATCTTATCCTGCTGTGAGACCCTCATTCTAATACTCCTGGATTTGTTAAAGGAGCCCGTGCCCTTCAAGATTGGAAGGGTTGCAATTATATCCCCTTTCAACCTCTTTTTTAAAAATATAAAACCCCTAATCCTTTTAGAAAGTCTACATTGCTTTCATCCCTTAGAATGTTATAGTCACCCGGCAATCTCTCCTACAGAGGCTTCTCTGGTCCATCTGGCAACACTTAACAAGACCTTTCTAAGGTAGGCCTTTCATCTACATTGCCAAAATAGTGCCTTGTCCATAATAGGCACTCAATTAATATTTGTTGAATAGATGAATGAATAAATGCAGCCAAGACATGCAAAAGTAATGGTGGTATTAAGCTAAAAATAAGGCAGCTTTGTTCCTCTGTAGACATGCACTGGGGCTGAATTACCACATCCCCTCCAAAGAATTGTTCCAAGTCAGTCACTCATAAGGAATTGTACAAAGCCCTATTAATCATAATGCTATTATAACACACAAGGGTGGGAAAGGGGACTGTCTCCTCTCCATTAGGCGCCTTTTAATTCTTAATCTGGCCAAAAATCTAGTCAGAGCCAAGATCAAAGGGGAAACCCCTCAGAACTCCTCTTCAGGTGCTTTTTGTTGGCTGAAAATTGGCAGAAATCTACCTAGTTTAGAACCCCATGGACCGCGAGTGAACCTTTCAAAGGGTAAATTAGATCATTTACTCCCATGCTTAAAACTATCCAATGACATATTGTGACACTTAAAATAAAACTCAAACTCCTCGCCGTAGTTTAAAATGCCCTATGTGATCTGGGTCCTGCCTACCTTTTTACTCAGCTATCATTTTCTCAGAGAACCTGCCCCTCTCACTCCCCCACCTCTGAAGAAAACTTCTTACCCCTTAAGGCAGAGGTCTGCGAACTTTTTCTGTGAAGAGCCAGAGAGTGAATATGTTAGGCTTTGGGGGTCAATACCATCTGTCCCAACTGGCCAACTCTGCCACTGTATGAAGCAGCCACAAAAAATGTTAAATCCATGAGTACGGCGATGTTCCAATAAAACTTTATTTACAAAAACAGGAGACCAGCTGGATTTGACCCATTGGCCCTTCCTTAAGATGAGACCTGTTCCATTACTCTCTATCCCCATATCTTGCTTAGTTGCTGTGGAATATTTTCTCATTTGTTACTTCCCTGGTTTGGCCACTGGGATGTGAGCTTCTTGAGAACAGGACCTTTGTTTTGTCCACCGCAGTGTCTCCAGCACCTAGGACAGCTCCTAGCACACTGCGTCTGTTGAATGAACGAGCATTTTCTCTATCACTGTAGCTCTCACTCACTACCCAGACCTCCCTTCAGTTCTCAGAACATTCTAGGCTCATTCTTGCCTCCTGGACTTTGCACTTGCCTTTGCCCTGTACCTGAAGCATCCTACTCCCTTTTATTCACGTGTCTGCCTCTTCTTTCATTCGGGTCTCAGATCGAAGGACCTTTCATTGGAGTGGCCTTTCCTGGTCATGCTAAACAAAGCCCCCAGAAGCCGCAGCCACTCTGTCTTATTTTCTCCAGAGCACTTTTTAAGAACTGGAATTATTTTTTTTTTTTGCTTGATTCTTGTACATCCTCCCCCCATGACTCCAGAAAGTTTCTCAGCCTCATTAAAACCTAGAAAAGTATATGATGCACAGCAGATTTTCAATAAATATTTGTCTAGAACAGTCCTTTTCAAAATATTTTTTTTAAATGTTTTTTGGGTTTTTGGAGGTTTTTGTTTTTGTTTTTGTTTTTTCTGAGACAGAGTCTCGCTTTGTTGCCCAGGCTAGAGTGAGTGCCGTGGCGTCAGCCTCACTCACAGCAGCCTCAAACTCCTGGGCTTAAGCGATCCTTCTGCCTCAGCCTCTCGCGTAGTTGGGACTACAGGCATGCGCCACCATGCCTGGCTAATTTTTTCTATATATATTAGTTGGCCAATTAATTTCGTTCTATTTATAGTAGAGACGTGGTCTTGCTCTTGCTCAGACTGGTTTCGAACTCCTGACCTCCAGCAATCTGCCCGCCTCGGCCTCCCAGAGTGCTAGGATTATAAGCGTGAGCCACTATGCCTGGCCTCAAAATTTAATGTGTATCTAATTCACCTAAATATCTTGTTAAAATGCACATTCCAAGCCAGCAGGTCTGGGGCAGGGCCTTGAAATTCTGCACAGTCTTACAAGTGCTCCGGAGATGCTGATATTTTTGGCATATGGACAACACCTTGAGCAGTGAGGGAGGGTCTAATCACTATTTTTGACGGCCAGGCAAACATACAGGAAGTGGGATGTAGACTGAGCATCCTGCAAAAGCCATCTGAGGCAGCCTGAGCCAAAGATCAAAGCGAGAGACCAATCCCATCCTTAAAAGGCACATCCAGTGCAAAATGATAAGGACACATTTTCCTGAGTCACTTAAGTGGTTTCAGCCTCAGGCACCAGGCCTTCAATGAACAGGAATTGACAACATTTTCCATATTAAATTCACCTTGAAAATGCTGAATCACCCATGGAGGACCAAAATGAATCTCTCCTCATCTCGTGTTCAGTCATGTCTTTCTTTGAACCATTCTGTTGCGTATATTAGGAGTTGCCTGCTCTACACCTCGATGTGGTGACCCCGAGAGACCTCGTGTTTCTGCAGAGCCCATGCTGGTAGTGTGCTATGGTGCTGAGGTCCTGAAAGAGGACTCACAGCTGCAAGGGGGATGTGTCCAGCAGTGAAATACAATATGCAGAGCAATTAAAAGCTATCACTCTGGAGTCCAATTGCCACTTAATCTTTGTGTGACCTTCAGCACAACGCCTACACTTTTTATGCTTCAGTTTCTTCCTTTTAAATGGGATAATAATGAAACCTGACACACAAGGTTGTTGTGATAATTAGGGGCGGGTAATACTTGTAAAGTGTGTAATATGCACAGTGCATGGCCCACGTGCACATGAAGGAATATCAGTTGGAATTCTTCAAACTATTTGTTTGTTTGTTTTTGAGACAGGGTCTTGGTCTGTCACCCAGGCTGGAGTGCAGTGGTGTAATCATAGCTCCCTGTAAACTCAAACTCCTGGCCTCAAGCAATCCTCCTGTCTCGGTGCCCAAAGTGCTGGGATTAAAGGCGTGAGCCACCACACTCAGCCTTAGTTTAAATTCTTATTCTGCTTCACCACGGAATATTGTTATCTTGTTTATTGAAAACGATCTCAATTCTGGAATTTACAAAGTGGCTCCAAACACAATATTTAACACAATTATTTTAACATAATAATTAAAATAGGGAGTGCTTGCTATGTACCACGCAATATATTAAGTGCTACTTTGTCTCATCTAATCTTGAAAATAAATCTATGAAGTAGATCTTGGTATCTAAATTTTGCAGATAAGGAAACTGGGGCTTAGGATGGTGAAGAAACTTCTTAAAGATCACTCAGCTAGTAGGGTTGGAGTACAGATTTGAGCCCAGGTCTGGCTGATCTCTAGCTTTTAACCACCTTGCTGTACCACCTTGCTAGTTAGCATCCAAATCCAAGCATAGATTTAGATGTCCTGGCTCCAAGGCAGGATCTCTTGCCATCATGACAGCAACCATTGGGGTGGCTTTCTCTCTTCTAAGTGAGAACGTTTTGGTTGATAGTTATCAAACATACTTCCAAGTCTGGCAACCAGGTCCTGAGTTCTATTCTTATGGTTTCTGTTAGTTTGGTTTCCGTTTGTTTGTTTAATTTTTGCCACTGTAAAAATGTCCCGTTTGACAGAGCTTCAGCCCAATGAATGTCATGACTTGGATTTTCAGGGATACTTCTTGATGGCCATGCTGTCTCTCTTATGTTCCAGTTATTCATTGCTGGTTACCAACCATTCCAAAACTGGGTGGCATTTCCACTACATTCCTGTGTTTCAGGAACTCTGAAATGGCATGGTAGGCACAGCCCTTCTCTGCCTGCAACATCTGGGGCCCCAGTTAAGAATACTTGGGGCTAAAGGATGACTCTAATGTCTAGATGCTCGAGCCATCTAGCATGCCTGGCATGAGAGCTGGGATGAATCCCAGGCTGGGCTCAGCTGGGACCCTGGGCCAGAGCACCCCAATCCTAGCTCTTCATGTGTCTTGGGCCTTTCACAGCATGGCAGCTGCATTCTGAAAGGCGGCGTCCCAAGTGGGAGTGTCTTGAAGAATAATTATTATGGTTTACCTCTTATTTGTATTCTATGGTACAAGTGAATCACTAAGAAGTACCCAGATTCAATGGAGGGGAACTAGACACTACCTCTTGAGGAGAGAAGCAAGGCCACAGTGTTGAAGACCATGTGGGAGGGGAGGTATTGTTGTGGCAATCTTTAGAAAAATGCAATCTGCTGCAGCCTTCAACTCCACACTTTCCCTATTATTTCATCATATTGAGCATCAAATACCTTGCAAGAGGGCAAAAACTTCCCTGCCAGCCTCAAATGTGCTAGCAATGAAGAGAAAAGTAACTTACCCAATGTCTTGTACATTCTCAAAAAATATTGCCCTTCAGTCTGTAGCATGCCTTCAAGCCATGAACAATAGCATTTAATGGAGGTTTTTGGAATTCCAAGATGTCTGTCTTAGGTAAAACCAAGGGAGCCCTAAAGTGAGAAAAATTCAACTGAAAGAACCTTATCATAAATAGAATTACTCGTAAATGATAGAGACATGTATATGATTCTTATAATCCAATGAGGTAAATGATATTCCAAGTTCTTTATAGTAAGAAGAAAATTGAGGATTAGAAATAGGTCAAGTTTCACCCAGAGAGGATGTGGTAGAGCAAGGATTCAGGCTCAACTCTTTTAGACAACCATAGCCATTTAATGATAATCTTCCTTGGAAATCAGTTAGTTTCAAAGTTGCTTTATCGGTCAGGACTCTTTGTTCCAGGTGACAAAAAAACCCAACCAATGTTGATGTAAGTGGCAAATCATGCCAGTTACAGGAGCTTCAGGCATGGCTGGATCTAGGAGGTCCAACAATGTCATAATAAATTATTTCTCTGCCTCTTGGTCCTCATTCCTTTTCTTTTAGTTTCATTCTTAAGCAGGCACTCTCCATGTGGTGACAGAGATGGCCACCATCAGCTACAGGCCTATATCCTACCACCGAAGCAAAACCAACCTATATTTAGATTCCTTTCTCTATAACTTTGAGGAAGTAGCCCTTTTATCTCCTGTCTGAATTTAATTGTTCTCAGTTGGGTCACAGGTCATTCTATTCATGTCAGTCTCATGTGAGGAGGGAGATGAAATAAGGTGGTTGGCCAGGTCTGAGTCAGTCCTTCACAAGCAACTTGGACTATGCATGGAGGAAGAGTGATCTCCCTGAAGAATACCAAGGTGAAATACCCAATGACAAAGTAATGGACACTAGGCAAGCAAAAACATCAGGTGCTGACTACATCCTCATTTTGCAGATGGATAATCTTGTAGCTGGCAAGACTGATCCTTATTCCATTTTTAGCCATTCCTTCCCTCTGGCTCCCAGTGTTCTATTATTGCATCTGTTCCTCCTTCCTTAGAGGAAAAGAGTTGACAAATTTTTTCACACTGAAGTATGAGTCACTCAATCACCAAGAATCCTTGCATTCTAGTTTCTATAATGAGCATTCACTCATTTGACTAATATCTATTGAGCATGCACTATGTGGCAGGCTCGTGCTAGGGAAGCTCTGCAAATAGAGAGGTGAAATAAGACAGGCATGTAGGGGCTAGAAACATACAGTTAGCTAGAAGGCATAAGTTCCAGTTTTTGGTAGTACGGTAGGGAAATCATAGTAATAATAATTTATTGTACATTTCAAAATTGCTGGAGGAGAATTGTAATGGTCCTAACAGAAAAGACAAATGTTTGAGGTGATGGCTATCCCAATTACCCTGATTTGATCACGATATACTGCATACGGGTATCAAAATAGCACATTTACCCCCAAATATGTACAACTATTATATATCAATAGGAATGTAATAAATAAAAAATAAAACAATGCCTGAAAAGAAAGACAGGAACGTTTTACAAAGATTCGAGTATGTATTAGTATTATAATATAAAAAATAAACTATTTTCATTTAAAAAAATTAAGGTCATGAGAGAGAGGGAAAATACTCAGTTATTTTCCAATTTGAGGAGTTCACAAAAATTTCTTGGAAGTGCTTTCTATACTCCAACCCCATACCCAGAGCTCTGATTCAGCAGAGTAAGACCCAGGCATTTGAATTTTATAAAGCACTCCCAGGTGATTTTGATGAAGATAGTTTGAGGATTTTATTTTGAGTTTCACTGGCTTAACTCAAAGAAATTATTCTTCAGTGGCTACATTTCTGAAATCACTGAACATCTCCTGAAAAAGAGAACTCTTGGAGCAAGGACACCTTACCCTTCAAAACACGTTGCAGAAGCAACATCTGATCTGGCCTTGTTGAAAAGCACCCACCCCATCCCCACTTTCCTCCATGTTGGGGTTTGCAAGGTGGACGAATGATTCCCTATGGTCATGTGACATGTGATACTGGACGCTGTCGTGAACCTCCCTGTGTTCCCTTGGAGCAAATCTCTTCACGATGAAGAGTGTTACCATGAACACCTGCGCCTCTCTGTCTGAGAGTTTTTTGTCTGGCCATCAGAGCATCCTCGCCCCATGTGGGAGGACGGATGGAGAGTGAAGGACCCTAGGGCAGCCCTCAGCCAGTGTCAGGTGGGGATTTGGTAAATGCATACCCCAGATTCCTTCCTCTCCACTGGGATACCTGAGTCACATTCTGCACTGTCTCTCGAAATTCCCCAAAGGTGTTGAGCTCCAGTTGTCCGCAGTGGTGACCTGCTGGTGAAAGCTCCCCTCCTTGGCATTCTCCCCGATGTCATCCCAACTCCCCTCTGCTCCTAGTGTTTCCTGCCGTCACTTCCCGCGTAAAATGACCTGTATGTTAATCCTTGTCTCAGGGTCATCTTCTTGGGAAGCCCAAAGTGAGCACCCATGTTTTTCTAATTGTAAAAGGCATGTGCTGCGCTTACCATTGTTCTTAGAAACATAAAGTGCTGACAATTGCCCTCACATGACATCACCAAAGAAGTGGTTCCAGTCAAGTATCTAAAGAATCAAGCCAGGGTTTAAATTAGAATGTATTCCTCAATATCTCTGACATGCCCCAGCTATCAAGCAGAAGATGCAGATGTTATTACTGTTACTTTTATTATTACCATCAACTCTGAAAAACACACTCAGTCTAAATCATGCTAAATAGTTATTCCAAAGAAGGATGTGAGGAAGGAACAGACTGATATTAAAATGTTATTGTACTAAAATAGTCATAGAAAGTGCAAAGAGTGTGTTTATTATGCAGAATGCATCCGAACATGATTAGATGTTTGGCAGAATAGGAACAAGGAAAGAGTGGAAAAAGCCCAGCCAAAAGCAGCCAGACTCAAAGATTTACTCCAAAAAAGAATGGATGAAAACTGCTTCTTGGGATTTAAATGTTGATGCGTAACTGCATCTCCCTTCTTCATCTACTTTCAAATGGTAACAAATCATTCTGATGATAATTGCGGAATGTGTCTATTTATGGCAATCTGGTGGCCCGTGGAGATCATCCCATTTCTCGTTCTATTGATTACCCTCCAAAATGATTCATGGGCTTTCAGAACAACCCAAAGGATAAGTAGTGACTTCAACGCTTGTCCCCTGATAAGAAGAGAAAAAGAAAAGGGAAATACTTGTTGAATGAACACATAACAAAGAAGACAAAATCAGAATTCAGAGATGAAGGCTGGAGGATAAATTAAATATATATGTGTGTGTGTGTGTGTATGCATTGCATGTGCATCTGTGTGTGTGTGTATGCATTGCATGTGAGTGTGTGTATGCATTGCGTGTGTGTGTGTGTGCATTGCATGTGAGTGTGTGTATGCATTGCATGTGCATCTGTGTGTGTGTATGCATTGCATGTGAGTGTGTGTATGCATTGCGTGTGTGTGTGTGTGTGCATTGCATGTGAGTGTGTGTATGCATTGCATGTGCATCTGTGTGTGTATGCATTGCATGTGAGTGTGTGTATGCATTGTGTGTGTGTGTGTGTGTGCATGAGTGGAGAGCTCTTTCAGACAAATACTCAGGATTTCTGTTCTCTGTTCTGGCTATAACCAACCACCAGGGAGAGATCGGTTTAGAAATTTGTTTTCAGTTCTACGATTCAGACCTCTCACGTCATGTTGTAGAAGAAAACATACAGTTGAAAAGCTAAAAATAATCTTGCTCTCTCTCTCTGTGTGTGTGTGTGGTTATTTTTTTCTGAGAATTTCAGATAGGTGTTACTTTTCTGAAACCATTTATTAGATATTTTCAGAAATTATGTCATTGAATCCATACTTTTACATCTAATTGTAACAAAATCAACCGTTGCAGTCAGAATCTTTAGTTTGCAAACAACAGAAAACTTGATTTGGTCTGGCTAACAAAGTCATTCATTGGCAGGACGGGGAAAAACTTTCACAACGAAGGGAAAAACTGAAGAACCAAACAGAAGAAAGATCACCAGAAATGAGTTCTGCTGTGGGGATTCTGGAAACAGGTACAAATTGACAAATTCATCAGACACCGGTGCTGGGATGAGCCAGTTTCCACTGTTTTCGCTGCTCTTCCTCATGTCATTCCATTAAACATTAGGAACCCAGGGAGAGAATCACCTGGCCAGCTTGAGTCTCAGGCCCACCTCAGCAAGGGGACAGCAGTGTGTCTGGAATGATAATCCTACCAAGATATCATGCAAGAGGGGAAAAATAATCTCCCCCAAATACTAGGTGTTAATAGAATCAGAAGAAGGGGACTGTGGCGCCTGAGGATCAGGCTGGAGGTATTGATAAATGATTAATGATTACTGAGATAACAGGCTCATAAAATAGGTGCCAGTCTTTGACTACCCAATGTCTCATGCATAGCCTTGCTGCTTTGCTACCTTGTCTAAAATATTTTCTTTATAACCGTGGTAACCATCACACGAACATTAAAAGTTTTGTGGAAAGGCATCATTTTTGGAGGATATTATTCCTCGTCCCTAGCAAGCTTCTGCCCCCAATCCCTGAAGTTCTGCTATCCCTCCCATGTACCCCTCTAAACCCTAAACACAGAAGCAGCCCTGCCCACCTACTCAACTTCTATTGCTGCTTATGGTGCCTTGAAGACTCAAGTGTGAGGATCAAATTGTGACTCTGCAAGTTCTAGCACAAGACCAATTGTTATGTGTGAGGAATGTGATGTTATATTCTCTGTGTTGGGTATTTCACATCTATAGTCACCTCTGTGCAGGTAAACCAACAGCATAAAACTGAAAATAGTAATGGTAATGCAACAGCCCTTGCAGCCTGGACGGATATATTCCAAGTCCTTTGAAAACCATCACATTCTCAAATATACCTTTTCAAATTATATTTTTCACAAAAATGAAAAAAAAAAGCACAACTGAGAAACTATAAATAACCCCCTCAGTCTTTAATGATTCTGTAAATATGAGACTAAAGTCATTTACAAAGCCATTAGAATAAATACCGGCTGCAGCAGTCATTGAAACAATTTCACAAATCATTTTTTCTTGTTTTCATCATAGGATCTGACTCACTGCTGAATATAACATTCCCCTCTCTGATGTCTCCAATACATGTCATTTCCAGATAAGAACTTACAATTTTTAAACCTTTTCATGCCCACCACCATGCCAGGGGGTTATTGGGTAGGGAGGGGAGTAGATAATGAGTCGGCTCTGGACTTCCCTGATTCCAATCCCAGCTCCAACATTTAGTACTGTGTGCATTTGAGGAGACCTCACTTTCCTGAGCCTTGTTTTCCTCACCTGCAAAATGGCATAATGACAGTATCTTCATGCGACAATTTATTTTAAGCACTTAGTAAAGAATCTGGTACTTCATAAATGCTCAATGTACATTAGATATTTCATTTTTTAAAAAGTCTTTAAAATAATTATATGGGGAAACCCATTTTTCTGCAAAAAAAATGAGAACAACAAAGCACCTTGAAATCTATATACTGTACTGGGTGCTCAGAGAGGCTCACTCACTGGCTAGCTGACTCATTCTCCACACAATTCATAAAAATTCCTTCATGGCATCCACCTTCAGGGTCACTTAAAAATAAATAACTGGAGTACTAAATCCATATGCACCCTGGATCTCGTGCAGAGTTGACAAATAATTGGGGAGTAAAATGGCAAATTTTTAGAAGGAATGTTCCTGAAATGTCACCTTGCTTTGTGGCAAGAAAAAAAGCATACTAAAGTTTGTGACAAAGTAATTCAAACATAATTGAGCTGCAGAATGGTGTATGTGAAACTATAATCTTCTGAGTGATGTAAAACTTCAGGGATAATACAAGACCCATTAGTTTCCTGAAGCGATTATTCCATAATGGTAAAGTAGAGTTTCCCAGGAAATACATTGAAGTCACTGAACTGGAGATATGTATGAAACAGGTATAAAAGTTCTATGATTGTCTGCCTTTATCAAAGATACGGCTTTAAAATATCATGGGAAAGGCTGGGCACGGTGGCTCATGCCCGTAATCCCAGCACTTTGGGAGGCCCAGGTGGGAGGATCACTTGAGGCCAGAAGTTCGAAGTTACAATGAGCAATACTCTCTCCACTGCACTCCAGCCTGGGTGACAGAGTGTGACCTTTGCTAAAAAAAAAAAAATTTTTTTTTTAAAACCACTGGAAATACATTCATAGTAAAGTCTATATTACTACTAACATAATAACACCATAGTAAAAACATTGATAACTGCTATTCGGTGGCAAGAATTTCCCATTAATTCCTTAATTAATTAAGGAAAATACCCTCCCAAGTTCATAATGGAATGTTACAAATGCTAGCTCAAACACAGAGCGCATGTACAGAACTTGCATGCGATAGAAATGTGGTACGGTTTATAAATGGCCTCAGGGAAGATATGTGACTCCAATTAAATAAGCAACCAAAAGATGTCAAATAAATATTCCTCTCAAGGACTCCTCTCAGCCCAAGAGGCCCAGGAGATTTAGCTAGAGAGAAATGTTCTAATAAGCATTTTACCTCTTTGGCAACACTACAGAGGAGTGTCTTTCTAACAACAGAGCTTTGCTTGATCTACTACTGAGTCCTCTCACACGGCCTTGGGTTTCATTAGTTAGAGTAATGATCAGCAGATCTCTCTGCCCCTACACCCAGGTGTCATAGCACCAAAAGACACCAGCGTTGCTCCTTCAATCCTTGTGGTAACCCATTCTCCCTCCAGCAGATATTTATTTAGCATACAAATACCTCTGGGAGGAGGAGGCACATTATTACTATTGCCTTATGAATTAATTCAAGGCAAACAAAAGCCATCAACATACGAGGAAAAGATATAGAAATATATGTTACTGGTTTTGGAGGTGGGTGGTGATGCTATGACACATAAAGAAATGTAGTTGAGATAGTTTGGCGGACACACAATATTATTCTACTTGGATGCCACATTTTCAAATTGTGATAAATGAGATTATTTCCAGCAAAGATTTATTTCCCTTCTCTCACACCACTTTAAGTGGAACACTTTCCTGCCTCTCTGACTGTGAGCCCAGCCATGTGGCCCACTCCATCCAGTAAAATGTGGCCGTGAAGTAAGTAGAGGCCTCTCCTTGTTTGTGTGCTTTCGCCCGCTCTCTGGCTCTCCTGCTGTTAGTCATGAGAGGAGCAGGCCCGGGTAGGCACTGATCCAAGGAGAGAGAGCAGAACTGAACCAACCCATAACCTCGAGTGAACCAAGTCCAGCCAAGACGTAGCACCATACGTAGTCATTCTAGTTTGCCTTCAGGCCACTGGGCAAGCAAAATAAATGTTTGTTATTGCAAGCCACTGAGTTATGGGTGATTTGTGATGCAGCATTATTGAACAACAATTTTTCATAATTGAACAAAAATCTACAGATTAATAGAAACAGCTAATGTCAATTGAGCCCTCACCTTCTGCCAGGCACTGAACTAAGGACTTAATATTCATGATTTCTTTTAATTTTTAAACCACTTGGAGGAGTGGGTCTTACTTTCCTATTAAATATAAGTGATTGGAAGCAAAAATAAATAGGATTAGATCAAACTAAAAGTTTTCTACACAGCAAGTGAAACAAGGGAAGTGACAACCGCAGAATAAGAGAAAAATCTGCAAACTATCCATCTGCTCAGGGGTTAATAACCAGAATATACAAAAAGCTCAAACAACTCAATAAGCAAAAAGCAAAAAATAAATAATTCAATTAAAATGGGCAAAAGATCTGAATAGATATTTCTCAGAAGAAGATATTCAAATGGCCAACAGGTACAGAAAAATTGCTCAACATCATTAATCATCAGAGAAATGCAAATCATAATCACAATGAGACATCATCTCACACCAGTTAAAATGGCTTGTACTAAAAAGACAGCCAATAACAGATGCTGGTGAGGATGTAGACAAAGGGGAAGCCCTCCTACACTGTTGGTGGGAATATAAATTAGTACAGTCACTATTGAGAATGAAAGTTCCTCAAAAAACTAAAAGTAGAACTACCATATGATCCAGCAATACTACTAGTAGGTACATATCCAAAAGAAAGGAAATTAATATATAAGAGAGATACCTGCACTTCCATATTTATTGCAGCACTATTCACAATAGCCAAAACACAGAATCAGCCCAAGGGTACATCAATGGATGGATAGATAAAGAAAATTGGTATATATACGCAACAGAATATCATTCAGCCATAAAAAGAATGAGATTTTTGTGATTTTCTGCAATGTGGATGGAACTAGAGGACATTATATCAAATGAAGCAAGCCAAGTGCAGAAAAACAAGTATCTGCTGTTCTCATTCACATGAGGGAGCTACGAAATAGATCTAATGAAGACAGAGAGTAGATTGGTGGTTACCAGAGGCCAGGTTGGAGGGGATGAAGGGGAAAATAGAATATAAATGTATTTATTACCATTGAATTATACCCTTAGAAAAGGTAAAGATGGTAAATTATATAAGCATAATTTACCTCAATAAAGAAAAAGAATTAAAAAAAATAAGTGATTGGCCTAAAGCCACACAATTAGCAAGTGACAGAACTGAAATTCAAACCTAAGGCAATCTGATCCTAGTGCCCAGTTTTGTCATTGTGCCATACTGCCTAAGTGCTTATTTGTGTTAGTGTAGAAAGGTCAGACTTCAGTTTTCTACTGGTCTTGACTTCATTTGTCTTAATAACTATGTTAATTAATAATAACTATTAACATATAGTTAGTATAATATCAATAATTGATATTATTAATTAATAACTATATATTAAGTACTTATTATAAAAGTAAGTCTGACATACCATAAGCTATCATTACTTGAATGTAAGTTAGCCACAATTAAGAATTTTACCATGTGGATATATGTAAAAATTTTAATCAGACAATGATACCTTAAAACAATAAGGGGAGAAAAACAATGTGGTTTTATGAATAACATATTCAACATGAA